TCTCTGCACAGCTGTCTCATTCCTGCCATCACTGCATCCTCCTTTCTCACATGTCCCTCTAACAAAACAGCTGTGCTTTCCCTCTAACTCCTCGCTGCTTTGCTCTAGCATCATACGTAGCTCCTTCGGACCACTTGGTGCCTGTGCTGCCCTCACCCCATGCAGGGGCTGGGTGTGTGCTTTGGCAAAGCCCCTGACCTCTGCGTACATCCCATGTTGCTGCCGCTTGGGATGTGCTAGGGCATATTTGGGATATGAGGTGACCTCCTGCCATGTTGGGGTTCTCATCCTCTTCCCATCCCTCCCTTCTCTGGCAGCCAGGGCTTTGGGAGAAACGCTGTCCCCTCCTTCCTTACTAATGTGTCCTTGTTGTCCCCTTTCCCAGGCTGCCACTGGTTCAAATCCCATCTTTTGAGTACCTGGTCCCTGCCATGGTGCTGAGTTCCCACGTGTCCCTTGGTGCTGGCATGGACAGGAATGGTGAGCACAGCCCTGGAGCCTGCGTCCCACGGGGACTGGGCCGTGCCAGTGGAACAGCAGTGACGAGGTGCTTGGTGCACGGGGTAGGGGTGAAGGGTAGCAAGGGGTCCTGCCTGCTGGCCCCTCTGGTGATGGTGCACAGCACCCCACTCGCCCCTGAGTGCACCTGCAACGCATCTGGTCACCTCCCCAGTGTCAGGGCTTATGGGGACAGGGGTGCTGGCACACTGGCCCTTCTCCAGCCAGCAGCCTCTGCCCTGCATACTCTTGGACCCAGCTCCGGGAGCCCGTTATCCACGTGCGTCGCATCCTTCCGAAATTCCCTTCCAGGCACGGCCGTGGCCAGCGCATGCTCTGCACCACACTGCACTGTTGCAGGGAGATGGGGTGCCTCACTGCGAGAGGTGGGTCCCTGTCCTCCTGCTCTGCCAGCACCCCAGTTGTCACCTGCACGCCCAGTCCCTTTTCTGGCCCGCCTGGGGATTGCCATGAATAGAGGGGGCACAAGGGGATGTGCAAAGGCAGTGGGGATCGTGGTGCATGTGGGTGCATATGTTCCCAGACGCATATGGCTTGGGGAGCAGAGCACACAAGGAACAAGTGATGCTAATGGGGCAGTGGGAGTGTGGCCAAGGGACAGTGTTGGGCTGCTCTCCATGTATCCTGCCCCACAGGTCCCATCCTTTCTTCCTGCAGGTCTCTGGAGCTGTGCTGGTGTCTGGGCTGGTTCAGCTGGCACTGGGACTATCTGGCACGTGCGGGTGGGCAGCCCAGCGCTGTGGGCCCATGGTCCTGGCCCCTAGCCTCTCCATCATCGGGCTGTCCGCGTACAAGGACGCCGCTTTCTTCTGCTCCACTAACTGGGGGGTAGCACTGCTGTAAGTGAGCCCGGGGCCCACACCAGTGTGCAGTCCCCAGGGTTTCGCTTCGCCATGGGGACAGGAATGGGGCATCCCTGCAGTGCATAGTGCATGTTTGGGGCCTGGGCACCACTGTGCTACATGGTGACCTGTGCTCCCTCTCCTAGGCTCATGCTCCTCGCTGTTGCCTTCTCCCAGCACCTGGGGTCCTGCCGTTTGCCCTTCTGCACCTGGCCCCAGGCTCGTGGGGGCTCCATGGAGCCATCTGTCCCTACCCTGCGCACGTTCTCGGTACTGTGGCTCATCTGCCTCTGCTCCCTCCGTTGTGCCCAGGCTTCTCTCCGAGCCTGGCTCTTTGGTGTAGCGTTAGGTGGGACCTGGTGGCCCTGGAGCAGAGCAGGGTGCTGGGAGCAGAGGCAGGGGTGAGAAGTCCTTGTGCAGCTCCTACAGCGTGGGCACTGATGGGGGGATGTGGGGAGATGTGTCATGGCTCCTTGAGAGAGGTGATAAGGCAAGGACCTGCTGTCTGTGGCACAAATGACAGGGTGCTGGCCGGGGAAGGCAGAGGAGGAGGGTCTCTTGCTGAAGGAGGGACTTGCTGCCTTGCAGGTACTGTTCCCATTTGCCGGTGTCTGCATCGTCTGTGCCGTCCTCAGCCACCTTCACATTCCCTGGGAATCACTGGACCTGGCCGTGGCACAGCTGTCCTGGGCCAACAACACCTTCCATGCCCCTTGGGTCCGCATCCCCTATGCAGGTGGGGGGCAGCAGGGCTGAGCGCAGCCGTCTGCCTTCGGCCAGGGCCTCTATCACCCGTCCCTTCTCCCTCCGCTGCAGGCGATTGGGGGTGGCTGCTGCTCACCCCTCGGGCGCTGGCGGTGGGCATTGCCATGGCCATTGGCTGCAGCATGAACTCTGTGGGCTGCTACGTGCTGTGCGGGAGGCTGCTACGAGCCCCCCGGCTGCCCCCCCATGCCTGCAACCGGGGGCTCTGCATGGAAGGGCTGGGCAGTCTCCTGGCAGGGCTGCTGGGCACGCCGGGGGGCACAGCCACCAGCATCGCCAACGCCTGCGCCACCGGCCTCACACAGGTATGCCTGGGGGTGGGGGGAAAGGTTGGCAAGGGATGGGGAGGCAATGGACCAGGAGGTGTAGGGGTCCTGTAGCACCCAGGCTGTCACTGAGCCAGTGCTGGGTAAGGCAGGTCTGTATGGCCGGTCGGAGGGGACAGTGGAGGGTGATGCTCCTCATCTTCACTTTCCTGTCCTTCTTTCTGTCAGGCTAGTTCTCTCCTCTCAGTGCAAGTGAGTGCACTGGCGTGCGTGGTGCTGGGCATGTCCCCAAGGCTGGCAGGGCTCCTCACCCGCATCCCGCTGGCAGTTCACGGTGGGTTCCTTGCCCTTCCCCTGCACCGCGGGGCCCGCAGCCTGCCTGGCGCTGCCTGACTCCTACCCCCTCACAGGAGGGGTGCTCTGTGTCACCTACGCTGTGGCCGTGGGCACGGGGATCTCCTACTTCCAGTACGCGGACATTGACTCGGGGAGGAACATCTTCATCGTTGGCTTCACCATGTTCATGGCACTGCTGGTGCCACGGTGGTTCGGTGCGGCTCCGGCTCACCTGGCCACAGGTAGTGGGGACATTCCTCAGGCAAGGCAAAGCCTTGGGCCCTGTGGCATGGTGACCACACTTCTCTGATGTCCTGGGAGGCTGGGTTGGCTCACATCAGCAGGCAGCTCCCTCTCTAACCCCTGGATCTGCCATGGCAGCTCCTGTCTCTTCGCTGCTGCTGGGCTGTGATATCCTGGGTGATCCTGGCACTGTCTCTGCAGGCTGGGTGCCCCTGGACCTCCTCTTCCTCTCTCTACTCATGGTTCCCGTCTTCTTAACTGGATTTTTGTCATTTTTCCTGGAGAACACGGTCTCAGGTGAGGGGCTGCTCTAGGTCCTCTGTGTGAGCTCCTGCTCTGAGGGCTGGATCTGGCCGTGGGACTGTCCCTGAACCCTTGGCTCTGCCTCCAGACAGTCCTGCTGGGGGGCCTGGGGCTGGTGTGTGCTGGGAGGGTGCAGTGGAGGAAGGGGCTTCCACCTCACTGCCCACCACCCTGATCACAGGAACTCTGGAGGAGCGAGGGCTGCTCTCCAAGCTGGTGCTCCGGAAAGGCGGGACAGGCACTCACCACCCTCGTGGAGAAAAGGTTGAAGCCAGCCATGAATATGGGCTCCCCGCTGGGCTGAGGAGGCTGCTGCCATCCTCCTGCAAACCCTTCCCCTGCTGCTTCCTCTGCCCGGGGAGCGAGGAAAAGGAGGAGAAGGAAGAGGAGGAGGGCAGCCGTGCCACTGAGGAGGGGACTGCTGCCCCAGGGGAAGGGACACACCTGCTCCCCAAACCTGGCTCAGGGGAGCTGCAGCCGGCCAGGAGGCAGAGCGAGATGGAGATGCCCACATGGCACACTGTGGCCTGACCCTGCGGTGTGGGAACACCTCATGGGGGACCAGGGCTGTGCCCCCAAGGCAGCTTGTGAGCCACCTTGCTTCTCATTTCCGAAGCCCACATGGACTGGATGGGCCTGTGCTTCCACACTCCCTGCCCAAACCTCATATCCCTTCTTGGAAACGAGCTATAAAAACCTTCAAACAATTTCGCCAGTTCCAGGGGTTTCCTTTCCATCCAGGATTTGCCTGGGAGATTCCAGCCTACCCTCCCCTGGTGCCCTGAGGACTGCGATGGCAGAGGGCATGGCTACCTGGTGCCACCGCAGCTGGGGCAGTGGGTGCCCCAAACGCCCACCCTCACCCTGTGGACGTGGCTGGGGAAGGGCTCAGTGCTTTGGCCAGCCCTAAAAGGCTGTCACCACGGGCTCTGCTCACCCCCTGGCACAGTGCTCAGGAATGGCTGGCTCTCTCCCAGCCAGCAACCCACCCAGGTCTTGTACCCCAACCTGTCCTTGCGCTCCAGCTGTGCCCAAAGTCCAGCTGGGTCCTGCACCCCAAACCTTCCTACACCCTATCCCGGCTGTGCAACCCCATCTGTCCTGCACCCCAAAGCCCCTGCCTGCTCCCACCTCCCCTGGCCCTTCCTTGGGATGCAAAGCCTCTGGGATGATCACCCTCCCCTGGTCCCACCCGTGGGGCGGCTGCAGCCTCCGCAGTAGGGAGAGGGAGTGTGGAGTGTGTGAAGAGAGTGCAAGTGGGGGGCTGAGGGGCAGTGCAGGGGTGGCAGTTTGTGGGTGCAGGGTGGATGGCCTCGGTGCAGGTGGGGGATCACAGTTCAGCACATGGGTGCTGGGGATTGAGGGGATAGCGCCTGGGGCAAGGATGAGGCTATGCTCAGGGTGGAGGGGGCTGGGGGGTGCGTGGTGGCCACGGCCCCTGCCAGGCTGGCACAGCAGCTGAGTCCCGGAGCAAGCCTGGGCGAGCAGTGGTGCAGGCGCATGCCCTGTGCCATGCCTGCACGGGGAACCCTGCGGGGGCCGCGGGACAGGACCCCCCCAGGGGTGCTGCTGCCCCTCCAGGCTGTACCATCGCGCCTGCAGCCCGAGGGCTGTCCCCAGCTGGGCACCCGTACCAGGATGTTTCATAAGAGGAACAAGCGCAAAACAAAGTCCGAAGGCATTTCGGTCCCCATCGCTTTGCGCAGCGTCTGGGGAAGCCCGAGAGGGGAGGCCCAGCTCATCTCCCCGTCCTTGGCGGGAGGTGAGGGCTCAGGAGCCGTCCCTCCCGGGGCCCTGAGGGAAGCGATGGCCGTGACCGTTTCCCAGCGCCGGTGACCTGCGGCCCGTGGAGCCACGGGGGATCCCGGCGTGCCCCGGCCCGTGGCGCGCTGCGGAAGACAGCAGCATGCTGGGAGCCGTAGTCTGGCCCTCGCCTCCGGCCCGGCATCGCTCGCCTCTGCAAAGCCCCTCGCCTGCTCCTCTTGCCCTCGGGTAACTCCGCAGCTCCCCAGGGCCCCGGTCTGGCAGGTCCCTGAGTGTTTTGGCAGGCACGGAACCTGTCGCGGGGAGGAGTGGGAAGCAGCAGTGCTCATGGGTGGCGTGGGCTGCTCTGCCCGCCTCAGCGCAGGCAGGGCACGGCGTGTGGCTCGCGCGGAGCACAGGGACCTCCGAGCAGGAGGAGGGCTGCAGCGTCCCGCTGCCCCTCCCAGTGCAAGCCGGGCAGCTTAAATGTTGATTTGGACATAGACGTGGCAGCAAGCGCTGAATAATGCCGGGGAAGCAGCAGTTGCATTGCTGTGTGTCTGATGGTGCATTTGGGGCGCTTGTTGTGAGCTGGGGTAGGAACTGTCCTGCACAGAGCTCTCCAAAATGTCCACCCCAGCAGAGCTGCATGCATGTGCAGAAATGTGTGACCAGAGCTGGCTGAGCATCCTCACCTCTGGGCTGCGAGGTGGGGCTGGCGTCATGGAAGGGCCAGCAGGGACTGAGGGTCCCTGTGAGGAGGCCACCCCAGGGACCGGGGTCTTCCTGGGTGTGGGGTGAAACAGAGACCTGATTGCTCTCTTGCAGATGGAAGGCTCTGAGGAGCTGGAGAGGAACCTGTTGACACAGCCCTGGGCTTCTGTTTGCTTTGGCGAGTCCACATTTCTTGTCAAAGCATGCTTCAGGGATACTGGCTACATCGTGCTGATCTCTGACCTCAGCAGTGTGTGGTACGAGAGTGCAGACGCTGAGGCCGTGGGACAAAGGTCCAAGGTGAGTGTCTGGAAAGTCCAGGGACCTCATTTTCTCCTTGCAACAGCTGACGTCCTAGCATAAAATGCTTGGTGGCACAATGGCTGTTGGATCTGACAGGGCTCAGGTGCAAATGCCTGGCCTAGGAAGTCCGCAGGTGGCTCTGCCCAAGTGCTGTCACCCTAGTTGGCTGAGCACCCTTCTCCTGAGAGAGTGGGTCAGGGTATTTGTCATGCCCGGGACAGACAGGTGTTCTCTGGGGCTGCATGCTGAGCCCGGCACATTCTTTTCACTTGTGGGTTGGATGGGCAGCTGGTTTCCCCAGGACCAATGTACTAAGAAGGAGCTTGAAACAATGCTGCCTCCCCACCAGTGACAGAGAGATTCCTGTTCATGTTCATAGCCAGGCACAGGGTTCCATGGGGTGTCCTGTCAGCACGGTCCCCAAAACACATGGGGCCATGTCACATCTCCTCCCCTTACCCCGTGTGCCCAGGCCCCCCACATGCCACCCCTGTCTGCCATGTCCCTCTGTCACAGAGTGGCTGTGCTGAGCAGCTGGTGGCAGGAGCGATGGGCATGCGGTGGCAGCCATCTCCCAGCTGTGGCAGGTGAACTGAGCTGTGACAGCTCTCAGCCAGCCTGTGGCACTTGTGGTGGCATGCAGGGCAAATGTGCTACTGGAGACCATTTCACCCTGCCCACCACCCAGACCCTCCTGGGCTGGCAGGGCAGGGGAGCCTTCCCAGCTCATCTGGCCTGGGACAATCGGTGGGGAATGTCCTGTCACGGAGCTGGAAGGTGAGGCCCAGGGATTTTTTTTTGCAGCACTGGGACACGCAGAATTTGGCTCCTTCTGTGCTGGAGTTTCTGCCACTCCTTTCCCAGTGCTGAGCTCCCTGGGGTGTTGCTGTACCCCTAACATTGCCTCTTCCCAGGAGCTGAACAAGCGACTGACGGTCCACGTGTCCTCCTTCCTACATCACTTGTGCAACCTGGTGTCCCCCTTGCTGGCAGGGCAGCCGAACACCGCCACCTCCTTCTCCTGCCACCGAGCTGCGGGTGGCCTCAGGTTGCACATGAAGAGTGACCTCTCAGGACTGCCCTTCTACTGGGACTTCCACTGCTGCCCTGCTCCCGTGGAGATGGTGAGAGAAGCTGCGGAGAGTTTGGAGAGCGGGATGGTGAAAATTAAGGATCGTCTCCTATGCTTGGAGGCTTTTGGGTGGTCTCAAGCTGTGCTGGTGGCTGTAGGGTGCCTGGCTCTGCCTGCTGCCCCTCCCAGGGTTCATTGTCCCTGTTTCTTCCCACTGAGGCTTTGGCACCTTGGTTGGAGCCTTGCAGCAAGGCAGGGATGGCCCAGCACAGGTTGCAGGGCCATGTCCAGTTTGGGATGGTGACCCGCCAGTGCCCCGCGCAGCAGAGCGACGCTGTTCTCCTCCGATGCACGCCGTGAAGTGGGGCACAGAGCAGCGGGTACCCCCAAAGGATCCGCAGGCAGTGTCTCACAGCGGAGGGAACTAAAGCAGGGTCTTCCTGGCTTTTAAGGGGCTGCTCTTACCACGGGACTCCTTAACATTTTGCTTTTGGGGAAGCGGCCCCTGGAGCCCGCTGTCCCAAGCCGAGCACCCAGGGGCAGCACCTCCGCCGGACCCCGGGCGGGCGGGACGGGCGCTGCGGGGCCGGGGCTGCCCGGGACAGACCCCCACCCCCCCACCCCCCCCCCAAACCCCGGCACCCCGGGGCCCTGCGGCCCTGTGCGCACAAGAGGGCGCCCCGCACCCGCTAACGGCCTCGGCGGGAGCCTCTGCCGGCGGCCCCGGCCCCGGGACCGGCCCTGCGGGGCCCCGGGACCGGCCCGGCGGCTGCCCTGCCGGCGGGCGGCCGCGGGAGGTATCGCCCTAAATCCCCGACACCCCGCTCCCGCCGGGTTCCCCCGGGTCTTGCTGCGGGGGCACGTCCCTTCTCCCCCCCCTGCATGGCTGTGCTCGGGCATCGCGGAGGGGAGAGCTGGGCTTCCCCGCTGCTGTGGGGGTGTCTGTCCTCGCTTTCCAGGTTGAACTGGGAAGCAAACAAACTCGGGGTCCCGGCTTGGCTTGCCCTAGGGGCTTGCTGTCCCTCCCTGGGCAAGAAGCACAGAGGCTGAGCTGAGAAGGTGCAAAGCCCGGAATCCCAGCTGGTAGCTGCTCCTCTCCTTTTGCTTGAAAACCTGCTGGATGTCTGCAGGGCACCCAGGACATGGGCAGCAGTTGGGGCGCTGTGCGTGGCTGGTGTGGTTGCAGGAATGGTGACCAACTCTGACCTGCTACACTCGACTCAGCAGCCGGCCAGGGGCTGGAGGCAGGCACGGAGCCCACCTGGCAAACCGCTCGCTTGCCCCGTCCCAGCCCCTCCGAGCCCTTGGGTGGGTGATGGCCGTTGCCTCTGTGGCTCATGCTTGGGGGGGAGCAGAGCTCGGAGCCCACCGTGGGCTTGCCGTAGTAGTGAGAAGGCTTCGTGAGCGATGCTGGGTTGGTTTGCTGCCCTCTCAGCCTGGTCACAAAGACAAGGGCCGTGCTGGGGCAGGGGGGATCCCAAATACCCTCTCAGGGGCTGTGGGAAGTGATGGGAAGGAGGCTGCTTCGTGTGGTGGATGTCCCACCCTGGCTCCAGGGCAGGGGACGTGCCCAGGGCCTTTGCATGGGGCTTGTGCGGCTGTAAGCTGAGGGTGGGCACAGTGGGCTGCAATGGGGAGCTGCAGCCTTCACAACTCCTGCACATTGGGATCCCTTCTCTTTTTGATCTCGCCTCCCTGGGAAAGTCTCTCCTGTTCCTCAAGCTGCAGTTTGATACCTCAGGTCCTTCCACTTTTTCGCCCAGCTGTGCCTGTTTCAGGCGCAGGAACATGCCATGTTGTGTGCAGAGCCATGGGGAGGGGCTGGGTGCCACATGGGGGGTTCTCTGCCTCCTGCTGCACCCCAAATGGCAGGTGGAGCACTGCCTACCTCTGCACCCTGTCCCTATCGGGCCCTCCCACCCAAAATCTCCCCTGCTGCAGCCACCTGAAAGGATGGGACTGGGATGGAGGGACATATCCCACAGCATCTGGCCTCCTTTCTCCCAGCTGATGTCTTCTGACTGCTTTCCACGGGATTTGGGTGAGACATGGGGTATCTTGGGGAGCCCTGTGTGATCTGGGGTGCAGCTCTTGCTAGGGTCTTGCTGGCTTCCCTGCTTCGACTGGTCTTTGGACAGCTGTGTGCCTCCCTGGACCTTCCTTAGAGCATCCCTCTTCCACTGTAGGTGTCCCGTCACCTCGTGCGGCCCCTGATTCGGATGAGCCTGGCACTGCAGTACCAGGTGCAAGAGCTGAGCTCCCTGCTGATCCAGAAAGATGCTGAGATTGAAGACTACAGGGAGAGCGGGGCCACTCTCAGCAGAGGTGAGGAGGGATGCTCGGGGCCAAGAGAGGAGCGAGCAGGGAGCCAGTTTCCTCCTCAGTGTGGGGCTGGCATGCTCTGTTCCCTCTGGCTATTACCCAGCCAGGCTTGTGTTTCATGTTCAGCTGCGCCGGCAGCGAGACGGTAGCCAGAAGGCTGGGGAGCAGCCCCTGGGGAGAGGTGGGGGAGGAACGGCCCTTGACTGGTAGCTGGAGGAGTTGGGGGGTCGCCAAGGGGCTCTCCACTTCGCCGAGAGCACCTGGCCACTCCCCAGGAGCCGGTGGGGATGCCAGTGAGGGCCGGCCCTGGAGCGGTGTCAGGCTCCCTTCCCGAGTGCTTGGAGAGCAACCAGGGGCTGCCAGCTCTCCCCGCCATGGGAAGCACAGCCGTGTGCGTGGGCCCCCCTCCAGCACCCAGCTCACCTCACCACGAGGGGACACGGGCAAGTGGAAGCCCCCTCGGATAGGATGTCGGTCAGGGCCTGCCTGGGGGAGCCACCTTGGCTAGGGGTTGTCCTCTACCTGTGGAGGTTGGCTGGGCACTTTTTCGGGTCATCCCTTTCTAGTGCCATGCTCTGTCCTGCTGCCTTTCCACAGGAATCTTGCCCCCTCTGGGATGTGGGATCTGATGGGGGGCAACCCTGTCTTGCTGGATCAAGGATGACTTGATCATGGCGAGGAAGGTGATGTGGTCCAGACCCTGTCCCACTGCAGGCACCCCTCCACAGGAGCCTGGATCTGCCCTGCAGCTGCACTAGAGCCACATTAGCCAGCCACTCTCCCCTCTCTCCTGTTGTGTGCTGGCACTGCAGGGCTCGGAGCAGCCAGAACAACCCACTTTGGGTCCAGGGACTGATGCTGGTGGGCAGATGTCCCTTGCCTGAGCAGGGCAGGAAACTGGGAGGAAGCTTTGCACCAGTGCTGCTGAGCAAAGCTGGTCAGGAGCTTCTCCAGACGACAGCTTAGCAATGATGGGGAAAAATTAGTGTCTTGAATGAGGTGCAGAGCACAATGATCTATAACAGGGGTTTGTCCCTGTCCTGCAAGAGGAAGATACAGGCTGGCTCACTCCTCCAGAAAAGCAGTTGGAGACAAGCAGTCCCCTGTCCTGCAGTGCTCAGACCCAGGCAGTTCTTTCAAACTGTAAGATCTGGGAATGGTGCTGAGCATGTCCTGCCCCTGTCCCCTGCTCCTCTGTGCAGGAGGGTGCTGGGACAAGTGTGGATGGGCTCAACCTCATTCTCCCACATCCCCATGGTCCTTGCACCTTCTGCTAACCGGGTGCCTAGGGGCCTGCTGGGCTCCCTGTCGCTCTGGGATAAGCGTGCTGGAGCTGTTCCCCTGCAGCCCCCTCCACCCACGGGCAGGGGAAGGGGGGAAACCAGGGTGGGAGGTCTAGCCAGACCTGCCCAGGCTGATCCTGCTTTCCCTTGCAGACCGCTTGCGGACGGAGCTCTTCCAGGAGGAAACATTCCAGCAGAACTTCATGGCTGAGGTAAGGAGCGGTGCACATCCTTCTTTCGGCAGAAGGGTGTTGGGGAGCCAGCACCAGCATCCCCAGTGCAAGGTGTGTCAGACTGGATGGGGACATTAGTGGGGGTGGCTGGACTTGCTTGGAAGGGGGTAATGCCCACCAGCCCTCCCAAGCTTCTCCTTTTGTCCTTGCAGCTGGTCTGCAGGGTGGACAGAGCTGGGGACATGCCCGGCATGGCCTGGTGGGGATATGGGACCGTGTTTTGACACTCTCTCGCCACGAGCTCACGGGGGTGCGAGCTGGGCTGGCAGCTCCATGGGAGTGTGCCATCGCTGGGGTGTCCTCACCTGCCTCCCGCACTTGCTGTGGACCTGAAACACTGATGCTGATGGGAGGCAGGGGGCAGGTGAATGAAGAGAAACCATCTGCTCCTTTTGGTCCATCTGCTGCTTTTAGGGGTGGCTTTGCCATGGTGCGTGGTGGGGACAAGTGCCTTTCAGCCTGTTATGTGTGTTGTACCCACTGCTCTCTTCTTGGCATCCTTGGCTCTAAAATCAGACAAGTGCTTTGGAGAAAGTGGGGCTGGAAGGAGAGGCTCTTTCCTCTGATCCTTTTTTGTTGCTGGGAACAATCGCAGAAGCACTAAAATGGTTCAAACCAATGTGGCAACATCAGAAACATTTGATGCTCATTGATGTAAAATAGACTCGGGATGCTTCTGAGTGTTCCTGAGCTCACTGCGAAGGCGCAGGAGTGGGGAGCAGTGGTGTCTGCTGGGGACCAGGGAGTCAGCCAGGGTGTCCGTGGTGTCACACCGGCTTTGAGTGGACATTACTTTGTGAGATACAGGCTTATGCTCTTCACAGCCAGCAATTAAACCATCTGCAGAGTTCCTAAAATTCAGAGACAATCCCTCTTTTATAAAAGAGGCATTGCATCCAGCGCAGACAACTTTCGATTCTCCCGGTTATGATGGATAGAGATGAATTCACTGCTGGACTGTAACTTGGAGGTTGCCTAGGGACCGATGATCATGACCAGATTACATTCACCCTGGGCAAAGAAAGGACATTCCTAAACAGTAATTTATATCCTTCATGCTTTGAAAGGGCTAATTTCCCAAAGCGGGGGGAAAATTATGAGTGAAATCAGCTCGGAGGAAACATTTAGATAGAAAAATGTGAATGAAAATGGTGAGCTCTTTCAGAAGAATTTCAGAACCACAAAAAGCCATAATTCCACAATCAAGAAAGAGGGCAGTGCTGGCCGAGAGCCCGTTCTGGTTCAGTGGTGAAGTGAAGGCAGCAATTAGAAATAAAAGAGCAGTTTATAACAAATGGGAGAGCGGGAGTAGATAGCAATCAATATAAATTAGAAATTATGAAGTGTAGAAAATGGATAACAGAAGCTAAAGACATCAGGGAAAAATCATGGTGGAGGACAGAAGGAAAGGGGTTTATTTAGTGTAGTAGGAGAAAACCCCAAGCTCACAGCAACGGGATAAGCTTATTAGTAGATGGAGGTGGTAAAATGATTGATACTGGAGCAGACATGGCAGAAGCAGTCAGTAAATGTTTCAGTGCTGTTGCTGGAAGGATGCAGGAGGATGTGCCAGGATCGGGGGATGATAAAGTGTGTCTTTGTCCAAGGGTCGGCTGAACAACATCTGCTAAAGATGAACGTCAGGCTTGAAACTGAGAGTGCTCCAAGAGCTGGTAGGGTGTGGGGCACGGGGGAAGGTGCTCGGTGGTGTAGGGTGGGCAGGAGGGGTGTGATGCAGCTCCTGCACGGAGCCTTGCAAAAGCAGCTGCTGGGGAGCTTGTCTGGCAGAGACTTCAAAAATGAGAGCGCGGTTGGTGCTGTGTGTCTCGATAAGAGTCCAGGAGCAGTGTCTTGGGGCCGGAGCACCGGAGGGGGAACGGGAAGGTTTGGGAGATGCTCCCCCTCTGCATCCCCTGGCAGCCAGGTCTGAGCACCGGCCGTGGGGGAGAGGCTGGTGGAGGGATGCAGTCGTGCATTCAGGCTGCCTGGGGGGATCTGTCCTCTCCACGTTCATCCCGTTGCTTTATAAACCTGGTGATGATGCTTTTGGCCCATGTACCATCCTGCGGCAATGAATCATGAGATGCGAGCAGCTGCTGCCTTTGGTTTGAACGTGGTACCCTGTCGCTCCTCCTGATGCCTTCCAGGTCTTGTGTTAGTGAAGAACACCAAACATGGCTTTGCAGCTCTCCACCACCAAAACTGGCTGTTCACCCCAGTCTCCCCTCTCCTCCTGCAGCAGAAGAGTGGGCTGGATGAGCCCGTTGCCTCTGGGCAGGTATTTCAGAGCCCCCAGGCAACTTAGTACTCTGTTTACCAGCTCCAGAAAGGAGCAACACAAGGGGCTGGGGTCCCTCGGCACATGCCGTGGGGAGCTGGGAATGCTGCGACTGACTCCTGTGTCTGGGTTTTCAAAAAGACGCCGGACAATCAGTGTGGAGTCGCAGGAATGAATTGAGGGCTGGGGAGAGAGCCTGGCATTGAGAGACTTGGAAGGGAAGAGCTCTGTCTAGCTTATCAGGGAGAAAATTGAGAGGCGCCTTGATTACAGTGCGTGAGGGTCTTTACAAGGAGAAAATGCTGGTTAGTGAAGGGGTCTCTTTAATCTCGTGGAGAGCAGTGGAGCACAAGCCAGGCACTGGAAGCCAGAGCCAGGCAATTTTGAGCTAGGACGGAGGCACTTGGGTTTGCTCCCGCGGGCGATTAGCGATCAGAGCATGCTCCCAAGGGCAGTGGTTGATCTTCCATTTCTTGATGTCTCCAAAAGCGGGCTGGGAGCTTGCCTGGAAGTAAATGAAGTTGCTGGGCTCAGTCTTAGGATGTGCGTGGTTGAACGTCAGCGGGCAGGAGGTCAGGAGGAGAGGTCTGATGGTCGTTCCAGCCTCTCCCTCTGAGAAATGGGGCTTCATGTTGTGGATGTTTGGTAGCTTTAACACCTTCCAGCTGGAAAGGGATTGTGATGCTGTGGCACAGGGCTGACGGGATGTAGGAAAGCACTCCACAACTTTGCTCACTTCCCAAACTTTTGCCACATCCCCCGTGGGGAGGAAAGGACCTGCATGTTACCTGGGGCAGAGCTGCAGAGCCTCTTGGCTTAAACGTGCTCTTTCCCTGGGCTTGTATGCACTCGGCTGTCCAGGGCATTTTAACTAATCATGGGGAGTTTTCCAGCAAAGCCCTGGGAATATTTATACGTTTAGGAAACGACGCTTTCACACACGCAGTTTCTGGCAAGGGTTCACTGCTGAGCAGCTGCCTGGGCTTGGGCAGAGCTGGAGGGAGAGTGGCGGCCACGTGCAAGCCGAGGCAAAGCCGGCAGCTTTTATTGGCAAGCCCAGGGATTCACGCCGTAAGGGGAAAGAGCAGGCAGCTAGAGAGGGATCAGCGCCTTGGGGCTGCCCTGACACCCTTCCCAGAAGCTTAGGACCCAGTGGGTTGGGGCTATTTTGTCCGCAGTTGTACCTTTGGGTTGTGGAGATGACCTTACGTGGCAGTGTGGGTAGCCCACCCATGGGCTGTGAGAGCTTGCCCTGGCTTGGCTCTGGTCAGCATTTCGTGACACAGCTCCTGCCAAAGCCTGTGGTCCAGCTCTGCAAGGAGGGCAGGGTCAGGGTGTCCGTGCAGTGCTGTGCCCCTCGCCCCAGGGAGGGCAGGGACAGGTACACCAGGGACAAACTCACCAATACTGTCAGAGCAAATATAGCCCCTGCGCCCCAGGATGCTTTTCCCTGCGTATTTTTATCCGCTGTGGCTGGTGCGCGCGGGGGCGGCTGGTCCCCACCTCCCCAAGCCGAACGCGGGACCTCGGCAAACAGGACGCGGCGGGTTCACGGCTCGACCCTGGGGCCCAGCGAGGAGGAGGAGGATGTGCCATCAAAACAAGCAACGCCGGAGAGGAAGATAAACAAACAGGCGGCTTCCAGCACGGCCCCAGCCGAGGGCGAGAGGGAGCCCCGGGGCCAGGGCTGGCGGCGGTGCCGGCGGCGATGCCGGCTGACGTCAGGGCGCCCGGGGGTCAGCGTCCCTCTTATTGTTCCCCACCGGGGCTGGGACGGGGGCCAGGAGCCTGTCCCCCTCCCGTGAGGGGACACAGGCCAGCAGGGCAGGTGGAGGGTGGCCGGGGCACCCGCCGGGCCACTGGCCATTGCCACCCTGGGGTCCAGCCGGGCACCTGCCTGCACGCTGCCTGCCTCCAGCACCCTGCCTCTCCTTTTTAACAGGCGCTAAAAATAAGCCCCGGGGAGCTGAGCTGCTGCGGTCTGGCCGACGGCAAAGGCGGTGGTGGGCCGTGCGTTTTGCAGGGTGGGGACGGCATCCCTCAAACCTGTGCCAGGCCGGTGCGGCGTGGAGGAAGCGGCCCTTTGGCTCCTTCCAACGAGGGATGTTTTTAATTAGCACAAGGTAGCTGTGGCTTTGCAGCCGTGACCGGGCCAGAGCGGGGTCGGCGGCATGGGCGCGACACAGGCTGCTCGCACGCAGGGTGCACGGCCCGGGGGAGAAGATGCTGCGGGTGCTTGGCCAGGCTCATCGCTCATCTTCCTCCGCGTGGGGCTGGAGGCCACGGTGCTGTTGCTAGGAGGGCTGAGCAGTGCAAAAGTTGCAAGGCCATGGGCAGGCTGGCTCGGGGCAGAGGTGGCAGCGTGGGACTGACTTTTGGGGATGCTTGGATGAGCAGAGCAAGCTCTTGTGTGCAGGCAAGCATCTGTGCTGTGCTCGCCCGGTGAGACCCATGGGTGCCTGTATCGTGTTCTGGATTGGGGCTGCTTGTGGGGTCTTAACTTCATTCCTGAAAAGGTTTGGGTTGTCCCATCTCATTGCTGCTCCAGGGTCCAGGTCCCATGCTAGAAATGCAGTGGGCTGCCCTGCACACCCGTGTAGGCAAGGAGCTGCGCGCAGCTGCGATCAGGAGGAGCAGAGGGTCACTCGTGTTCGGCGTGAGCGTGTGTGTGAGAGCACGAGCGTGCGCCCAAGAGCAGGAG